ACCGTCCAGGTTTACTTACAGGCCTGTTCTGCTACTACCCTTACTCACAAGTATGACTTCTCTTTAGAATAGACTATAAATCAACTATAGTGCAGTCCCTCTTATGTACCTGTATGTTAAGTGCATGAACTGCCTGAGTACATTGCATCTTTGAACTCCAATGTATGTACTCTGATTAACTGCACACCAACTGTAACTAGGGATGCCTATACACATGATGATTTTTGCCATGTAAAGCATTCTAAAGCTGTCACTTAATACACACAGCCAATTTTAGAACATTCTTTAAATGGCCAAAGTTGCCTTAATTAAACCTAGTTGTATGCATTTTAAATGCAAAGCGAAAGAACTGCAGTAGTGTGTCTTTATTGCACATGTATTTAACTGGGGCTTTTCAAAATAGTAATTGCTAATTGCTACCAACAGGTGTAGCTAGCTCTGGAGTCAGGTATCAGCATGCATTCGGCAGCATCTGGCACCCCCTGCCTTCAACTTTACAGAACTGTAGCAAGGCATGAAACTTGCATCAAACTATGGAACATCTATTATTAAAGAAGCTCCAGCTTCTGCCAAATGATATATCATTTGCACGTGAGACGGTCATCTTACCTCTCCTTTCTGACAGAAGGAATGAAATTGTTAACAAGATTAACATTTAAAGGATTGCCACTAGCCATCTGAGCCAACATTTCCTGAAGGCTAATAGGCTCAGTTGTATGGCAAGGACACCCCTTGTACCTGTGAGCCAGCAGGAGGCAGCAGCCTCCAGAGCTGTGCCAGGGATAAAGGTGGAAAGGGGGGCTACAGCCATGGAGAGGCAGCCTCAGCAGCTGCAACATCTGGAGAAGCAACAGAGCAAGGATGACATGGCACAGGTTATGGTACCTACTCAGAGTACTGTTGACAGTAGGAAAGCCAGCACACGTGACCCAGAAGTGCTGAATGAGGAGGTGGTATTTGCAGAGACTCCAAGTGGCCAACAGTAAGTAACCTCCCAAGGAAAATGAAGTAGTCATTAAGTGTGCCTACACATGAGCAGCAAGGCTGTTCTGACGTGCTGTAATTCTAGTTCATCAGAGCAGACTTGATTAATCAAGTCTGCTGGAGTATGACAATTATCATGCTCCAGCAGCCTCCCGCGTCTCATGCATCAGCATCCTTGTGCTTCAAAATAGCAGCAGGGGTGTTTTAACTAAAACTCATTCAACTAGCTTTAGATCGGCAGTTCCTAACCCTGGGTCATGACCCAAATGAGGGTCACAGGGGCAATGCCGGTGGCACCACACAAAAAAGATGAGCCGTGCCACTTGCCAGGAGCTCCCCTGCCCCTCCCCCAGGCTGCCGCTGTTGCACTCCACTCCCAGCAGCAGGGCACAGAACAAAATGTTGGAAACCACTGCTTTAGATAAAGCACCACCCACCGCCATTTTGAAGCAATGGGTGCTGGTTCATGAGACACTCCAGGCACTTCAATTAGAGCAGCTCTCGGAGCCACTATAATTAAAGGGCCTCTCCCCTCAGCCCCAGAGCATGTGTATAAATGCCTTGAGAGTCTTTTGAAGGAGACAGTTGGGGAGTTACATTTGTAAAACTGTTCCAAAATGTTGGTGGGAGACCCAGGGGCTGTGGGGCAGTTAAGTTCAAGGACTGCACAAAGAAGACATTCAAGATTATAAAACAAATTGACTTCAGAGAGATGTATTTGAATTTTAGTGAGGGCCTGGACAGTCAAGGAGGTCACAGAGAATCACAGCCTGCCAGGGGATTTGACAGGGCAACTGGAATGAAGAGGTTGCCACCTGGGATTTTTAAGGCCACAGGCAGTCCTTCCTATGACAACAGCAACCTGGAGACTGATGGAGGGGTAGATAATCTAAACTTTAAAGACAGCTGGAAGGTGTTAAAGGAAATACTTGGCAAAGTGAGAACATTCAAGTGGGCAGATATCCAAAGGGACAAAGATAGCAGGAGTCTAGACTGGGGTGTTTTCATATATGAACAACCCAAAGAGGCCATGCAGGCAGCCTCTATGTTCAATGGATAATTTCTGCTTAGGAGACCTGTGCAAGTAGGGGTGGACATTAGAGCAGGTCCCCATGCAGATCTTTGAGCAAAGGATCACAAAGTACAGTGGTGGCCCCAGGTCATAAGGGGTGCTAGAGTGGGCTAGGACTGACTGACCCTCTAGACCCAAGAGAATCTTACCCCAAGAACATCCAAGACCAGCTAGGAAAAGGAATGAAGGTCCAGAAGACAGCACTGTCCAATGAAGAATAGTCCATGCCAGCGGCAATGTCTCAAGAAACTAGGATGACCAAAGAACCCCCAAAAGTAGCCTGATTGGAGTCAACAGTCACATGGATACCAAGGAGCAGGTCAAACAATCTGTGCATGACCTAATGTGCAGAGAATAAGAGCCATTATGACAGGCAATGATCCCCTGATGTAAGCCTTGAGAAAGAGGGAGGAGGCAACAGGGAGCCAAGGCCCCCATTTAAGAGAGAAAAGTGCTGGGTTTTAGCCCTGTTCTGCTGGAGACAGCTGAGCAAGGTCCAGCTGCTTTTGGGAATAAGCAGGGAGAAAAGTTATAGAGTTCCCTGTAGCAACTTGAGAGCTCCTGGCAGCGAAGGGTTGCAGCTCACCTGAGCTCAATACATTTGGGAGCAGGCTGCTGGTTAAGCAGATTGGTCAGGAGCATGTGACTGGGAGGGGGATGGAGGTTGAACAGACAGGGCCAGAACCAGAGTATACAGTCTAACCCAGGCTGTTCTAGAGGAGGGGAGCTCCAGGCACTGAGAGGTGATGGGAACCATGAGTAGACCCAGGAGGGCCAGGGCTGGACTGTGGCCTATAGTAGACAAGGCCAGCCAGGCAGCACAAAAGCCTGGGGAGAGCCTGGACTAAGGCACCCAACAATGATTGAGACTGGCTGGGGGTGGGAAGGTGCAAGGAGTGGTTACTGTGAACTGCTAAAGACCAGAGGATTGGGTTACAGCTGTAGGGGTGCTTGGTAGGGTGCTTGGTAGGGTGCTCCATGAGAAAGCCTAGCCTGGAATCGGGAACCCAGAGGGCTGGAGACTGGTGATAGGCCTCCAAGGGCTGATCCTCCTACAGTGCCTAATTTGTAAAGACTAGCTCTGGGGATAGGCAGACAAGGTTGTTTGGGTAAATCTGATATCTTTTATTAGACCAGCTCAGATAGCTGAAAAATGTTTTCTTTGCAACCTTTTGGGTATAAATACCCTTCATCAGGCTGAGGAAGCATCTGCAGTTGGTGTGTGCTCTTCCTGGATGCAATGAATAGTAAAGAGGCCAGAGGCTGGTACGCGTGCAAGACAGGCAGCCAGTGAAGATGTAAATTGAGGAGTCAGTGGGTGAGAGACAGGCTGGGGGGTTAAGGGGAGGGAGAAGGGGAATGAATGTAGCTGGTATATAGTGGAGAGTCAGATGTTAGGCAGATTACAATGTGTCATAAATCCAGTGTCTATATTTAGTCCATGATTTTTTGTATCCAGGATGTTGATGAAGTAAAGTTCATAGGCTCGTCTGTGAAAGTTGTTTTGTAAATTCCCTTTGAGGATTATAACTGAAAGGTGGGAGAGAGTGATTTTCTTGTGAGACATCTGCCCCACACAGGTAATTCAGTATTCTTGTCCTTATTAGGTTTCCAGTGTGCATTTATTCTGGTGCACATTTGTTGTTTGGTCTCTCCAATGTATTTTCCATCAGGGCATTTGGTGCATTGAGTGAGATGTATTCCATTTCTGGAGCTACAGCTGTAGGATCCAGGAATGGTGATGGCTCTGCTGTGGGGTGTAGTAATTTTGGGGGTGGTAGAGATATGTTGACACTTTTGAAAGAGCCACCCAGATACCGTGTGAAAAACCGTTTCAGTACAGAAGGAAAAGCCCCCAAAATCACACACCACTGGTTATGACATATCATCCCTCCCTGGAACCTATATGGAAAATCCTCAAAACAACTGCAATCCATACTAGAAGGAGACCCATTCTTAAAGAGCTCTTCCCAGAACCACTGATCCTGGACTTCAAACAAGCACTGGACCTCACTAACCTCATCACCAGCAGCAAACTCCCTATGGCACAAAACACACTGAGTGGATCCAGACTGTGCCATGACAAGAAATGCAAAACCTGCCAACACATCTCCAAACTAAAAACCAGAAACCAAACAGAATTATTAAACACAACACATGTTATACTTCCTTTGACAACTAGGGCTGTCACTTGATCTGCTAATCCATGATAAATATTAAATAAAAGCAGATGAAATACATGGGTGTTCATAATATATAGAAACATTCTGGTCTTGGAAAGCAGCATTTAAACTCCTTTGCAGCAGGTGATAAAATACTGATATTTTTGTTTAGTAAAATCTCACCACAACTTCTTGCTAAAACCCAACATTTATTGATCACTCCAGCATTGCCAAATGTTTTCTAAGGATCAACAGACGACACAAACCCACAGTAAATTCTCTGACCTTTCATAAGCTTTTTGCTGCAGCTGGAGAAACTGACAAGTCATCTCTCTCTCACTCCCCCACATCTCTTTATTTTCCAAAGCCAAGGAAAATGAGCATTACTTGGGAAATCAGGATTGAAGCCTTCAGAATTCTCAATTTTGATATTTCACTTGTGTCCCATTTTTATAAAAGGAGGTCAATTTGTTACCCTGAAAAGAGTCTCATGAACAAAGGTGTCTGAATGCATTTTTACAATATTAAAAAGCGTTGTTGTTTTTTTTCCTTTTACCATTGCCTTTACAAAGTTCATTGTAGAGGAAGAGATACTGTAACTTCCAAGGTAAATCACTCCAACCTCTTTCCCATGCCTTAAAAAAAACAAGTCCCCACACACCACATTTGTAGTGCCTACATCATGATCATCTATAGACATAAATTCCCTCCTCCAGAATATCACACTTATCTTTATTTTATCTAAACAATGTTCTTTGCTTATGATTGTCTTTTTAATGTAGGCATGATCACACAAAGGAACACTGGAACTGCCATAGGTCTGAACAAAGGTCCATCCAGCCCAGTACCCTGTCTCCAACAGTGGTGAGTAGCAAATGTACATACCCACAGTGTACAGCAAGATAAAAATATGTATGCATAGATATTGTATCTGCACATACAAATGTGGTATTTGTATGTACAAATTGGGTATCTGTATGCAAGGTGTACATGATTCTGTATATCTTATCTTAGTTGTTTTGACTATGTAGGAGCAGATGTGCAAACCCAATGGAAGATCAGTTTTATGAATGGCTTTGATTGTTTGTGAGCCTTCACAGGAAGGAAGTCCTGTCTCCTTATACTTGCACTTTTTAATTGCTGTTGAATGGGCAATGTACTCCAAGTCATTTTTATTCTTTTCTAAAACATAAGCTATAAAAGTAGCCCATTAGCTAAAATCACGTACATTTTCCCCCCTGAGACTTGTAGTCTAATTCAGAAGCCTTTTATGTATTATTAAAGTTGTCACTAAATGGAAGCTTTTATGGATTATTAGAATAGTCAGTGAAAGATTAGTGAACATACTCCGATTCTTAAGTAAATCAAAGGTTTTTTGTAGCACACATAATATGGAGGAAAGTTAAAAGTATATTTCAGTAATTGGCATTCAGACATTTGATGTCTCTAACTGCTTCATAATAAGTTCTGTACATTTCTGAACAAGTTCACACCACATGTTATGATATTTGGGTGCTGGTTAGAAGTGTGATTTATATTTCACGTTACAATAAATTCTGATGCTTGCTTAATAAAAGAAAAAAATCGTTACTCTGAGGCAAGGGTTCAAAAATGTCACTGAATAAACAAATATGCTTACATACCATATTCTAATACTGAATAAAATTAAATGGTGAATGAAGCATGGAAGAAAACTCTAGAGGAGATTAAATGGATCTGGACCCCTATCATTTACAGGAAATATTTTAAAACATAATTATTTTATAAAGTTTTTTGCACCTTGACTGAGCATCACAGCATCAACATACCCTTCTTAATCCCTTTAAGAACAACATACTCAGAGGAGACATCTGTATAACCAAAAAGGGAGAAGAACCAGACTCTTGAACTATTAAGAGTTTTGCTATTAAATTCCTCATGGAAGATGAACAATAAAAAATTCTAGACGGAAAGAAGAATAGCATTTACCTGTTTCTTATGGAACATGGCATCAATGGGAAAGGAATAACTTTCATTGCATTACATGGCAAAACTTATACTTGGCAGACCCAAATCACTTCTAGCTTTGTTTGGCAAAGTTAACAGCTACCCTTAAGCACAGTTCATCTCTGGAAAGGTCCATCATTGCAGGAAACAAATACAGGATAAAAACCTTCTATTTATCCTTTTTGAAGCACGACCACATGAAGATCGCTATCATCCTGTGTCAGTTTCCTCTACGCATCTAGCTGCTATGCAACCAAGCAAGGAATAAGTTTGGCTGTTTGTAGACATACTCATCATTTTCTAACTGATTCACATCACACAGCAAATTTCAATTTGATTTAAGGGTTTATAGACGATCAAGGGGGCTTGCCCCCCTTCTCCACAGGCACGTAGCACCCATGTGCTTGGGCAGGGCTGGGGGCTTAGTCAAGATACTGATACTTAGTCATGCTAAGATGTTGGGGGCGTAGGTTGTATCGATGTTGCTCTAAGAGCATAGGCAGACAAGGTTCTTTGGGTGAATCTGATATCTTTTATTAGACCAACCTAAATAGTTGGAAAAAAATTTCTTAGCAAGCTTTTGGGTTTAAAAACCCTTTCTTTTAAACCCAAAAGCTTGCTAAGAACATTTTTATATAAAAATATAAAACATGAGAGAGAGAGAGACAGAGAGAGACAGAGAGAGATGACTGCAGTCTGGATTAAATCTAGAAAAACGTAACATCTATAAAGAGCCTTTATGACCCTCCTCTTAGCTGCGGCCAGTCTACAATACACCTCAGCCCACTGCTTACAAACCTGGGCCTGTGAGATTTCAGGGCTCTCACAAGAGATGTTAAACAATTTGCAGAATTAGACTGTCAGACTCAGCAAAGAAACTAGCAGCAGGGTTTGCCAGCTCTGCAGCACTGCTGGGAGAACAGTTTTCTTAAGGGTCCTGTTTTGGGAATGCTAGTTATAGATCCAAGGTATAGCAGGAGTATCACCTAGCCCAAACAGCATTGGTAATATTTTCATGCTACTGGTGTCTATGCATTATTATTGGTATGGAGCAAGGGTGGACAATTATTTGGGCCCGAGGGCCATATGGGGAGTTTTGATGAGCTGTTGTCGGCTGGGTCAGCACCACCCCTCAGCCCCCCCACCAGCTCACCAAAACTCCCTATGCAGCTGCAGGTAGGCAGGGAGCGTGTTCAGGAGCAGGGCCAGGTCGCAAGGCAATGACAGCTCTGAAGGTGTGTGAGGGGGAGGAGAGAGTGCATATTTGTGCATGTGGGAAGGGGCTGCCTGGGCACTAGGGCCCAGGAGCCTGCTGTGGATAAGGGGAGGGAGTTGCCCCAGGCAGTGCAGTCCACGCTGTCCCCATGGCACTCTGCATGGGGCTGAGCCCTGCCCGCTCATGCCAGGACAACCTGGGCAGTGTTCCTGCCAGTCCCCACAGCCCAGCCTGGTTGGGAGCTGATCTGTTCCCCCCAACCTCCAGCGGCAGGC